TATATATATATATATATAATATATGGATAACATTCCACATTTACAATTTGAGTAGCTTGGGAACAGTTACAGCAACTGTGAGACCCCTGGACATAAAGTTCAGAATGTGTTTTTGGTGGAATGATTGTGAATTTCTCTGTGTATGTTACTTTGCAATGGGAGACATTAAAATATAAATATTTGGTAGCATATGGCACTCTATTAAATTTGTTTAGAACAGAAAATAACTCAGTTTCTTTATTTTTGTATTTTAATTTTTATAATGTAGTGTTTCTTTTCAATATTTTTGCCAACTCTTTTAGACTGAAACAAAAAACGAAACAAACCTTGTGTTTTTGATTGACTGAAACCTGTTGATTGACTTGGTTTTAACTATTGCATGAAAAACTGACAGAATTGCATTCTGCAGTTGCTAAGTGATGTCACTTTGAGATGTAAAATTTAAGTTTAATAATGAGCACCTTCATATTAAAAAACAAAACTCAGTATTTTAGTAAATTTCTTCTGTTGTAAAGCAACATCATTTCCAGATTAACTTGTTTATATTTCTTTTGTAGGTTAGCTATAAAGAATAATCATATAAGATAAAATGTTTTAAAATGCACATTTCTTTTCTGGTTTAGGCTGTTGATGGCTTTGTGTTGGTCACCACCTCCACTGGGAAGATAATTTACGTTTCTCATTCTGTAGAGAGGTTCTTAGGACACCAACATGTTAGTATTATGTGTTTTGAATAGCTTACTGTTATCACATATAATGTAAGTACAGTATTGTTTTTTGTAAAATATCAGCTCACCCAGAAGATGGTCTACAAAACTGTTTCCCATAATGCATCAGCTTACACTGTAGTTGGTATACAATATCGATCTCTCTTAACCTGTCAGTTTACCCTGTAGATTGTCTTCCATAATCTTCTCTCATAATATATCAACTTGCTCTGTAGTTGTCTTCAGTATTTTTTTCTCATAAGGAATTAACATACCCTGTAGTTTACAGTATTGTATTAGCTTACTCTGTAACTGGTCTACAGTATTGTTCTCTCATAATGAATAAGCATATCCTGTAGTTAGTTTTAAGTATTGTTTTCTCATATTGTATCACCGTACCCTGTTTGGGTCTTTAGTATTGTTCACTCATAATGTTTTAGTTTATTTCGTAGTTGGTTTACAATACTGTTCTCATAGGGTATCAGCTAGTTGTGTTGTTTATCTACAGTTTTGTTGTCTCTTAATGTATCGGGTAACTTTGTAATTCATGTACATAATTGTTCTCTTGTAACATATCAACTTACACTCTGATTGGCTTAAAATATTGTTTTTATCATAAGGTTTAAGCCATTCCTGTACAATATTGTTCTCTCATAATATATCAACTTACACTATAGTTGGTCTTCAGTACTGTTCTCTCATAATGTATCAGCTTTTTTATACTCTAGTTAGTCCACAATATTTTTATTTTGTAATGTATCAGCCTACATTCTAGTTGGCTTATAGTATTGTTCTTTCATAATGTATCAGCTTACACTTTAGTTAGTCTACAATATTGTTTTAAGTTTATAAGCTTATCCTGTAATTGGTTTATAGTATTGTTCTCCCATAATGTATCAGCTTATGCTCTAGTTGGTCTACAGTAGTGTTCTCCCATAATGTATCAGCTTATGCTCTAGTTGGTCTACAGTAATGTTCTCCCATAATGTATCAGATTATGCTACAGTTGGTCTACAGTATTGTTCTCTCATAATGTATCAGCTTATTTATGCTCTAGTTGGTCTTCAATATTTGTCTCTCATAATGTATCAGCTTACACTCTAGTTGATTAATAGTATTGTTCTTTCATAATGTATCAGCTTATACTTTAGTTAGTCTACAGTATTGTTTTCAGTTTATAAGCTTCTCCTGGAATTGGTTTAAAGTATTGTTCTCTCATAGCATATCAGATTACCTTGTAGTTAGTCTGCAATCTTTTCTTATATCAGATTGCAATAGTTGATCTACAAAATGTTTCTCTTGTTATGCATCAGCTTACTCTGTTGTTAGTTTATGGCATTCTTCTCTCATAATGTATAAATTTATCCTGTTCTTGATTTACAGTATGTTTCCCTCATAATATATCAGTTTGTCTAGTTGGTGTACAATATTGGTCTTCTCATGACATATTAAATTACTCTACATTTGGTATACATTATTTTTCTCTCATGATGTATCACATTACTCTGCACTTGGACCACATTATTTTTCTCTCATGATGTAGCACATTACTCTGCATTTGGTCCACATTATTATTTTTTTTTTGGTTAACATATCAGCATAACTGGTAGTTGGTCTACAGTTTAATTCTCTTATAATGTATCTGATAACCCTAAATTTCTTCAACAGTATTGTTTCGTCATAATCTATCAGCTACTATATATTTCTCACAACATACCATTTTATTCAGTGGTTTGTCTACAGTATTGTTGTCTCATAATATATGAGCTTCCCCTGTAGTTAAGCTAAAGTATTTTCCTCACATAGTGTAACAACTTATCCTGTAGTTAGTCTACAATGTTATTCTCTTAACATACCCTTTTGTTAGTCTTCTGCATTCTTTTCTGACAGTGTATTAATGTAGTTGGTATACTGTATTGTTCTCCAGTACAGTAATGTATCAACATACTCTTTGTAGCCATACATGTAATCTGCATCAGTATGTGCATGCTGAATAAACATAAATTTTATGTAGGTTACAGTGTAGTGGTACACTTATTCAATATCAATATATGCATCCTGAATCAACATTAAGTTGAATGATCTACTAAAATCCATTTTTATAGAAGTATCTGTAGTTTCATTCACAAAAAATAAAACTTTGCATTCACATTTAGTTCGTGCTAAAGTCAACTTTAAGTCGACACCACTTGGAAGTCATCCTTGCTATAGCAAATGATGCCAAACCTGTAATTTGAACCAGGAAATAGACAAATTTTCCAATAAAGACAATCAAAAGCAGTTCAAAATCACTAAACCCATAACCTGCTCCACAAAAAACGTTATTTACTTAATCCAATGTTGAAAATGCAACTTCCAGTATGTAGGTCAAGCCAAAACAACTATATGGGGAACGTTTTAATAACTACAAATCAACAATCAAAACACACAAAGAACTTCTGGTTGCAAAACTTTAACATGCCTGGACACTTTCTTGAAGACATTAAACTGACAGGTATAGAGACAAATTTTACATCTAACAGAAACTGGGAAATTAAAGAAGCTTACTGGATATCACTATTAAAAACTGTAATGGCAAATGGAATCAATCTTGATCCTGGGATTGTTGACCTTCAATATGTCTCTGAAAAGATTTTCAAAACTAAATTCATAATTAAACTTACTTTACATTATTAGTATTATTCATGCTTTAATTTCTTAATTTTGGTATTATTTTCTATTTCTCACCACCTTTTGCTGTTATCTTATTTTTATTTTTATCTTTGTAAAGTTTAGTTAACATTTAACATTTAAGCCTTTTTATGTACTGTACACACCTCTTTGGCACAAACTAAACCTGACACCAACAACTCTATGTTATGATTGGCTAGTTCTCAAGGCTAACTCATATTGAACATCTGGTTTACATGATGTCAACATCTGTGCCTATATATTTCATTACACTCATTAAACATAACCCTTTATTTTTCTGAAGAAGAATAGTGAACTATTCCAAAGTGCTCGAGTTTTGTGTCTCATTTGAAAACCAATACTTGCATTCTTATAAACATAAGTTTCGATACGGTACTTCCTTCCACTCATAAGATTAGCTGTTCTTGTTTATTGCTGCTCTCTATAATGTGAACTTTTTTTATTACACATGCCACAAGCCTTTTGCATCCCCCTATTGGAATCAAATGATTCCAACATGGGTCTCATGCAAATCATCACGTGTCACCTATCCACCAATAGAATCATTGTATACTCATGTGACTCCCTCTGTGTGCCTCTAGTGAACTATCACAATTGGGTTCGTGCTGACCAATTCACCTCTTAGTTGGGTGATGGTGTTGGTATGCCTCATCCCCCATGGGCTTTGGATCAGTCAGCCCTCGCATTTCATACAGAGAACTGTCCATATCGCAACCGACAGCTATTAGGTTTGATTTTGGCCATTTGGGTGGTGGGCCCCAAATCGTCCATTAGTCTCACCTATGCCCAATTTTTCTGCCTCCATCATACTCTCATGAACCTTTTGTGATACTTTTCCATGATCCATCTGTTGTCTGAGGCTCTTCACAGAAATCCACAAGGTTTTCTGGGGAAACCTTGTCCCTCCTTACCTCCTCGTTGGCTCATTTATCATCTTTGATTCTGGCTTTACATACATGGTATCTTTGTTGTTAGGACCTTTTATGTCATGATGTTGTTTTATCTCATACTAGTTTTTCTGCTCCTTATCTCTGGGATTTGTGTATGGCTCTGTATTTAAGATGATTCAGCTTTGATACATACCTAGAATCCTTGGAGTCTCGGGTGGCATCTGCCCAGCAACACTACTATTTCCCATCTTTCCCCTTCCAATCCCTTACCTGTCCCTCTTTCCCGCAGTGCCACAGCTCATTATTTGTGTCAACAATGCACAATACACTGCCAACATTTCGGGTTACTACCTGGTAGGTTCAGGCCCAGTGGGAGCTCGTCTTGTGGCCTTCATTCATCGGTGGTGCCTTTCATGTATAGGTTCTTCAGGTTTTGTCAGAGAGATTCGAAATTCCATTTCTTGCCCCACTTCCAGGTACCTGTTTCCTTCTCAGATACAGTAACTTGCCAGTGCCGTCTATCAGAGGTGGTCCAGGACCTCCTCACCCAACAGGCTGTAGAACCTGTTCTACATCATTCATCCGGGTTTTACTCCCATTTGTTTGTTGTTCCCAAAACGACTAGGGACTGGAGGCCTGTCATTGATCTGTCCCGCGTCAGTCACTTTGTTCACCTCCCACATTTCACCATACCTACCTCAATCTTTGGTGGGCTACAGGTCTATGGATGACCAACATGGATGTCTCCAATGACTATATGCATATTCCCATCCCGAAATGGTCTTGTCCTTATCTTCGGTTCGTCCATTGAGGAGTGATATACCAATTTCACGTCTTACCCTTCAGGCTGGCTTCAGTTCTATACATTTACTGTCAGGTAGTATGCACTTTTGCTCTTCATCTTCATTACCTGGGGATGTATTCCCATCTTCAGTGGGCTTTTTCTACAGGTCTGTGGATGACCAAGATGAATGTTTCCAATGCCTATCTGTATATTCTTATCTCGAAATGGTCTTGTTCTTATCTTTGGTTTGTCCATTGAGTGGTGGTATACCAATTTCGTGCCTTATCCTTTGGGCTGGCTTCACCTTTGTAAGTTTTCTGTTGGGTAGTATTTGCTTTTGTTCTTCATCTTCATGCCCTGGGGATGCATTCTCATTTTTACATGGATGACTGATTACTTCTAGCCCATTCTGAACAGCAATTGGCCTGTCGTACTCGTCAGCTCCTTCTCGAAACTGCTTGGGTAGGCTGATTGATCAAATTGGAGAAGTCCTTCCTAAGTCCTACCCAATATCTTGTACATTTGGGTGTCTTTTTCAACACTCACCTCAGTCGGGCCCAACCTTTTTCTCTCAGACTCCATTCTATGGAATTGTCAGTTCGCCATGCTCTGTCTGCTCTCTCACATTCAGCATGTGACGT